CTGGAAGGTCGTAGCTGTTAGGGTTAAACCTTCTTAGCCTTAACACCTGTCGATAATTTCGCCTTATAGGATGAGCCATACTAACTAGTTTACGCAAGCCTTCTCCGGTAACGCCAGCGAGTAGAGATAGACTATAAGGTATTCCTCCGGAACGGGGAATTATCAACAACATGGGTGCTTTGAAAGAACTCAGATCGGTAATTTTACTTGGGGTATTGATTGCTTACATTTTAGACATTCAGGAAGTAAAGGTTAAACGTGTCGAATTAATTGTAACTTATCTCGGCAAAGCAGCACTTACTCCAGTTCGTCCGGTGGAAAAGTCGGCTGTTCTTTGATGGACCACCACTCCATGAACATGAACATCCCACAGCAGCCTATCGACTGCTGCATATCATCAAGTTTCACAATGTCGTCCGCTTGTGCTGGCCTCTGCCGAGACTCGCGAAGGTACGTCACTCGCTCCTTAAAGTAAGCACGCATGGTTTCGTTCATCCATGACTCCATCTGCTCGTACCAGGGCTCTCTCACAAAAAGGATATTGCATCGAGCTGTAGACAGAGAATTCACAGTTATAAAGCCATCGTCACTGCACCCCCCGGCCGTGGCCAATTTGATTGCATTAAGTGTTGAAAGTTTTGTCGTTAAGGCTACCTTATGAATAACATCAAAGCAACAAGAAAACCCTCGGGTTTTCGTAAGATGGAACCCGTGGTAATCGAATTTGTATGAGTTGGGCATAGCAGGAGGAAGGAAAATAAATGAATAACTCGACGTAATAGACTAATAAAACTAAAATTAAAGTAACCTAAATTAAATTAACTAAAATTAAATTAATAAAACTGCTTTCATTCTCCCCGGAAAAGGAAGAAGAAGGAAAAATTCCTGAGACCAATTTGTATTTAAGCTGACGTTTCGAAAACATTCTCACTTTCATCGTCAGAGCGTAGTGTCTATTCTCCTCCTGGCGTCGAATGAGTGTGTCTGGCCGCTAGACGCGTGTTATAACTGTGTTTGATGCTCGCACGTCGATCGATTATACCGATCGATTGCTGGTGGCTGTTTGAATTGTTCTCGCCCTCGCAAGCGCCTTCATGAGATGAGTCAAGTCGTTCGTGTGCCTCCTGAGCGTTTCCACCTTCGCACGCGGCTGCCGGCTGTCGGTCCTGCATATCTC